GAGATAATGATGTGGACATCAGGAAGGCAGTGGTTTGTAAAACCTGTGTGATCATTTCGTACAGACAGGGGCACAAATTCATCAAGGGGAAAAGTTGTTCAGAAGACTGGACACTTGTTCTTGAGGAAAAAAAGAAACAGTAAATCCCGTAGGCTAATATCACAGATACAGGTTTTACTTTTTAAATTTTGATGATTTTATAAACATGGAGATTACTCATGTTGTTAGAATGGATAAAAGATAAAAGAAAACAGTGCCTTACAGAAATATTAAATGAAAAAAAAGTCAGTACATTTAAAAATACATTTTTAAAAATATTTGGTTGAAGAGTTAAGTATGTAAAAGATTCCACTTTTTATTTTACTTCTTGAAAAATTCAGTAAGTCTGATCCATATTCATTCCAGCTACATCAACAATGTTTTCTATACACAGTATAGAATCTGTCCCTCAATTTATCTTTAGCTGGAGCAACCTTTAAGTTCGTATTTTTGTCATTTATTTTATTAATCTATATAACTTCCTTGCCATTTGATCAACTCATCTTAATTTCACTTTCTTTTATTTCTGCATTCACTTCACTTCATGTGAGTGACCATGTCTGTCTCTAACATTGCGCATACACAGATTTTAATTTCTAGTTTTATTAGAACCTTTTATTATCTAGGATTAGTGTCAGCTTTTGCTGTTTGCTTTAAGAAGCTTTGGTGCAGTATCAGGAGTCACTGCAGGGTGCACCAGGAGCAGTAATCACTGAAACACGGTATTTGAATTTATTCACTCTTCTGAGGTGCCTTCATGTGGTAGCACTAGGGTGCAGGGGCACACTTCTTGATTAACAAGACATTGAAATTCACTATAAAAAGTGCACAAGCCCAGCTAAAGCTGCACTCAGTAGGTCACCAGTCACTTCTGGGACTGTCACTGTGCCAGCAGCAACACGCCCCCCTTCCTCCTCGTCTATCACATCCATGACTCCACAAGGTCAACAGGACCCAGCGCTGACTCCTGATGCGGGCTGACATTTACTCCAGTTTTTGTACTGCGTGCCAGTTGGTTTGGCACTGAAGGTCAGTTTGTCTAACAAATCCTGCATGAGGTGGACACATCTTTTCAGCATTCATCTGTTTCTGTTCAGTAGTTCAGCACAGAGCCTTTAATCAGTTTGGATTATACAAAGAGATGCATAGTGCAATATGCCATTCACTGGATACGATTATAATGACCGAATTTCAGCTGTTCCAGGCAGGTGATCCCTGTCAGTCCTTTCCAAAGTGCCCCAGTATGCAGCATCATCCTCTCAATTCAACAATGATCAACGCACAGTGTAATATTTTCTTTACGTTGAATAATAGATCACAAAATCCTACATTCACCTACTGACATATGACACTAAATAGATGTGTTATTGGGCATCTTCCAGTCTCAACATCAGCGTACCTACTGCACATGTCATCTAGCACAGGTGCTTTCCTAAGTGTCTTTCTGCACACTGTCAAAGCTCCTCTTTCCTTTTCACATCTTCACAAATCCTTTAGGTCCACTCTATATATCGCTCTTGCAATGTCGTGATTCCAAACCCTGCTATGCAGTTCATTTGTTTGCAATATACCACATTCATTTCTAATGCAAGTAACTTCACACTCCTTTTAAGTCCATGTCATTCTTTCTCTTACCTTGAAAATTCATAGATGATCTCTTTTCTTACCATGCATGTAAATTATGGGAAGTTACAAAATTTTTCGCTGGCTTGTGTTGGGGTGGGGTTTTTTTGCAATCTTGCTAAATCAAACTCTTTTTCTGTCTCAGCACAGGAATCTGTGACCTCTTGGGCCATTTTTGGATCAGCTGACTCTTACTTGCAATATTGTTCTTCTAGGCATAGTCAGTGAGTCTGTGCAATACTTCTCATGTGCAAGGTTTTTATAAGTATTTTTAAGTTTAGCAACCTTAGCCGTTCCAGCTTTTCTGATGTTTTGGGAGTCTTTGTCCTTTTAAGTTTTTGATTATAAGTATTTTGCAGCTTCACACTGTAATTACTCACATAATATTATGCTATAGTAGCTCAAGTCTGATTGTTTAAGTGTCTGAGTAGGACATTTCATGAAAAACTACTTCTACAAACATAGCTTTGTACTTGACATTTCTATACGGAAGCCATTAAACAAGAGATTAATTCTTCTCCTTTGGGCTCAGGGCAGTCCTTATCTGTGTGAGTGATCCTATTGACTACAAAAGGATCTTTCATATCAGTCATAATTGTAGGACTGGACTCTTGTCTTCATATTTTGGAGACAATTTAAGGCCTGTTCAGCAGCAGCTGCTTGTGGCATGGAATGGAATACGTATCCTGTGCCAAGTGGTCAGATTCACACAACTTATTGCTCATCCCCTTCCAATGAAAACCAAAAAGCCGTCTTGTTTATCCTCCCTCTCCATCACTCTTCCTGCAAAGCAACAAATGTCAGAACATGTTGTGGAATAAAAAAAGAATGGAGCAACATTACATTAAATATCTTTTTTCTTTTTTTTTTTTTTTTAAGTAAGTGCAAGAAACCTGAGTTTGCTGCTGTTCCAGTCATTGTTTGGTAGTTTTGCTAATTGTAATAAATGTTCTGAACTTCCATGAACTAGCATCTAATTAACAAAGAGTTTCTTTGCTCAGTATTACCATTGGGAAAATCTACAGATTAGTTATAAAGTATCATTTGTAAGTATCTGCCAATTATTTTGCAATTTGAAGTCTCTGATTTTTTCATCTTCCATCTGATTCACTTGCGGGGATTGTCTTTTTCATAGGCCATTCACCATGTCAAGAGAAATACTCAGGAAAGATATTGTACCTAAGAGAATTAGAGAAAACCTGCATTTCCCCGGTGATTTCTGGGACTTCATTTCTTCTGCCAGTAAAGATTTAGTTATAAGCATTCCGGATGCAAGTCCATCTTTATAAAAGGACATTGTGTTTTGATTATTTAGAACCTGAAGTCACAAAGGGCATGTTGTAATTAGATTTACTTTGGTAGGAATTGAAAATGTATTGTAGTAGTCAGAATCCCCAGGGGAAGGTTTCTAATAAAATCTCCATTGAAATTATTCATATGTGGAAAGAACAGTCAATATTTGAGGTATGAAATGTCAATAAAAGTAAAAAAGTATTAGCATTCAGTATAAGTTACAGTGCATGGCCTTGCCAGTTAGAATATTGCAGCTTTGTTTCACAAAGCTTCCATGTGCTTTTAAAAATATAATCTCTAAAGGAAAATAGAATTAGTCTGTTAAAAACAGAGCTCCCTAGTTGTGAAAATGGGTAGTTTAATATAAGATACAATCTAAAATATATATATACTTTAAAAACTGTCTTATAGAAGTGAAAGGTAAAATATCTGTAATGTTTTTCATTACCATGAATGCAGATGAGAGGATCATTTTCTAATGTTCATGCGTGTGGGGATTCGCTGGCATCCTAATGGTGGCAGAGGCCACTCAGCTGTCTGCTTGCTATTATATCTTCTCCACCACTTGGGTAAAAGATAGCAATATAAAAAGCGTTAAGGCAGAGAAAATATGGCAGAATGTTGTTCCATTAACTTGATGTCCTCTTTAATAAACTTCTAACTTACGCATAGATTCCTGTGATACCTACCAGTCCTGAGTTCACTGCCAAATCCTAAATGAGTGGCAAGGGGTGAAGTTTTTATTTGCCAGTCGGTTCTTCAGGGATGGTACCATCTGCTTCCATAGCCCCAAACAAACCATCAATAGTAATTCAGAATAAAGATGCCCCTAGATGGGATAATTTTCCCTCAGGGGCTGCAGTGTTACAAAGCACAGGTCATCGGATCCAGTGTCACGTCTGTTCTCCGATAAGGAAGCACTGCCTGGAAGCCATCCAGGTCTCTCTTACGTAGGGAGAGTTATATGTCTTTTCTCTTGCTCGCCAGCCATCAACAGGAATGTGTTCCTTCTAGCCTCTTGCTCTAAAACTCATTACGCGAGTGTTGACCTGCATTGATTGAATTGAACAGTTGGATTGGGCTTTCTTCAGCCTGTTGTCTCCTCACTGTTCAGTGTAGATCCCTTTTATCCCCCTTCCACCACATCTTCAAGGAATCAATGAGCAACGTTTAAATCCTGAGAGCTGTCAATGTATTTACTGCATTAGAAACATGGTCTTCTTGGTAGTGGACAAAAAAAACACGCTTAGTTTCCAGTAAAAAGTTCCTGCTTATAAATTTAAAATGCACTTTTCATGAATATTCTCTAACTTTAAATATCTCAGTTGTTTTCTATATTGTCTGTGGAAAAGGCTGAGTTAATTCAGGTAAATTCCACATGTTTATTCATGGTATAAATGGAAATATGGGAAACAGGAAATTATTTGCCTATGAGTTAAATTACCACTGTGAGACAAAGTTTAGGAGTTTTAAATGCTGCTGTAGAAAAGCAGATGTTTAAGTCCCAACAGCTGCTCTGTAGCCATCCGCTGTGACCTTTCTGCCTTTCTCTAGCCAGCACCTACGAGACTGAAATGAATTGAAAAGTTTTGCTAACTTTCAAGTGTGAGTCACTTCGCATGGAGTACTGAGACTACATTAAATACTTTGGCAGGTTTCCAGAGTCCCTTTCTTTTTCTGTTATATGGGTTTATTTAGTAATGAACAGATTTTTTTTTTAAAAAAGGAGTTTGTGCATGACTGTCTACCATGCTCTATATCTTTCTACATGTCTATCACATTGCCTATTTCTCATCTAGAGTCCATTTCGGGGTGAATAAAGGTAAATGTTGTTTGTTTACAGTATCCATTGTCTACGCCTTCCATAGCTTTACAGTTGTGGAAGCCAGACCACCTACATGCACACAAATATGCACACAGGCACACACACACATGGTCCAAACATCTTCATTATTGCTTGTCCATGTACATTGCTAATCTTCTCAGTTATTTAAGCATGGCATGATGGTTTCTGTCATTCACAGTTTGTTTTATTCATCCTTCAGGTCTCCTGTAATGGCTGGAGGTCTATTTGCCATTAACCGGAAATGGTTTTGGGAGCTGGGAGGCTATGATCCAGGATTAGAAATATGGGGAGGAGAGCAGTATGAAATCTCCTTTAAGGTAAGTCATCAAGTCACCTTATATGATACTTCCTTACTTGTTTGGTACTAGACTCAGTCTTACACCTCTGGATTTTCATTTCTCATATGCTTTGTGATCATGATGCTTTCATTCATACTGGCTTTTGTCTTTTAACTAAAATTAATTTAGTACAATACTACTTTTTTCCTTTAGGAATTTCCACTAATTTCACAGATCACTATGCCATAAACATATGCTCCAGAAGCCATACAAAAATCACACAGAGTGCAGTTCCCTCTGAAAATCTGGTAGCTTACCACCATCAAAGAATGAAGTTCTACCTTGTTCCTTTTGTCAAGTCTTCTCTACTTACCTTCGCTCAGACGCTGCATTCACTTCATGCTCGGGTGTTAAGCTCAGCTCAATAAGCCAAGAGAGAACTAATCCAGAAAAAAAGAAAATCACATAATTTTCTGCCCAGATCAACAAGTTTAATCATCTCTGGGGGTAGGCTCCCCTGGAGTCAGCTCAGGGCAATGAGTGGAAATGGAAAGAGAAAGTCGTAGGAAGAAGAACCCCTTTCAGTAGCAGTGAGTCACTAGATCAGCTCAGCTGCTATGAGCTGTTATCTTCTGGCCAAATTTTCAAAATCAGATGATTTTTTAATTGCATTTGAAGAATTGTAATGACAAAATATATGGGCAGTTTTCAAGTGCTCAGGTTATGTACAACTAGCCATGGTATATCCTCATATCCTCTATGTCAACATACGTATTCAAATCAGTTACTTGGCTTTTACATGTCGAGTTGAAAGTCTTGTTACTTTCCACATGCAAAATAGGTATTTGCATTAGTTTGATGAGGACTAACATGTCTAATTTTGAAAATTAAGTTTATTATGTTCCAGTATACCCAAAGACATAAGAACTCTACATGCAAAGATTTTCAATGACTTGATAAAATTTCATGACATAGATTGAGTCAAGCATATTTGGATAAAGCTTGGAACTGAAATTAGAATTCACATTTAGCTTCAGGATCTTTCCAACCTACTTCCAAACTCTGACAGTGTAAAGCTCAGTAAATAAATTTAGTATGTCAGCCATGACTAATATCATACATCTTGCTGTGTCTGAGTTTCAACAGCGATTCAAACAACAGAGCTGAGGCCATTCTGTTGAACGAAACATATAGCATGATCCGACACTGGACTGCCAGGCTGTCTTTACAGGAATTATCAAGAACAGCAAAATGGTTTGTATTAACTGTGCTACTCTCGTGTTTCTCGGAATCATTTTTATACCCCAGCAAAATAAAACAGGAAGGCAGGGGAAACCCAATAGCTAGACGGTGTATTTAGAACATATTGATTTACCTTCTGCCCATTTAGGTTGTTTCAGAGGCAAATGTAAGTAGTCACTAGTAGCTGTCATACGGTTTTCTGACAGGTCACCCAAGATTTTATTATCCTATTTCAAATATTCCTTTTATTTGTCATCACAAAGAATGTACTTGTAATGCTCTCCAGTCTTTGTATAGAAACCATGGTAACAGCACTGGAGATTGAGATACTAGATTGTCCCAGCGTGTTTTGCTCAAGTGATAGGTGTTTTGGAGGCAGCTGTGTCACACTGGGTCTCATTTCAGTCATATCATCTCATTAGTATATACTGACCTTAGGGTCTCTCTCCTTTCTTATTAGTGTTAAAAGAAGAAAAAAATACTGATTAGAAATGATTGCCAAATAGGAACAACTTTCTATTGGAAGAATTTAACAGATGTATGTTTTAAAAAGACAACTGCTCTTTTGTTTGGAATGACAAAAAATGGGAGAAAAATCATGGAGGCGGGAGGGAGAAACAGAAAGGACTGGTTTGTATTGTATCAGAATCACCAATAGCAGCTTAGGAAAGGTTTCTGCTTCAACAGTTTCTACTGTAGCTATAGATTCAGCCATCTTAAAATTTATTTAAATGAGGACAAGTTAGCCAGACAGTTTAATTTACCGGCTTTATTCACAAAACTTGGGAAGATGGTGGACTTGCCATCTGTCTGTTATTCACAAAGTCAATGAAAAAGCCAGATGACCAGCCTGGTTCAGTTTTCTTGGCTGCTTGAGTGGGTCTGAAACTACATGTTACCTTTCCTTAGAGTGTCCACATCTATGGCCCGTGGAAGTGTCGTAGCATGGGTGCCCTGTGTTGATGGCATGTCTCACGTTAATGGTATTTCTCTTGGCAAATAATTATTTGGAGTATCCTGCCTCAAGAACATGTCTAACCACCAGACTTTTAGCTGTTCTCACTCATTTCTTCTTTGACTCCATTAATTCTTATTATTTTGTAAAAACATGACTGGTTTTCATTAAAAAGTTGTGAAAAGCAGCTGATTTGAAATATCTCATAATTGTGGGAAGTTCATATTTAGAGGACTGTTTCAGGCTGATCTTTAACGTCAGTGACAGACAAGGTGTTCCTTTTATGTTCTTCATATATCATCTTGTTTTTAACTTTGAGATTCATTTGTACAAAAGCTGCTATATAATGGTAAATAAGTAAACAAGCTAGCTACTATAAACAGAGACCATGACACAACCTTCCCAGTGTCAGACTGGGGATTCTTGTGGCTAATTCAAATACAGTGATGTAATTATGAGGGGGTGCATGCCAGAGCGAGAGCTGTCATGTGCTCCCTGAAATGAAGTAGTGTCTGGTTCATCTTGAACTGGTTGCCCTGCTCTGTGAGCTGGAGCGGGGAGTGTTCATAGATCATTTCTGGTCCTCTGCTCAGTGATGCATTTTAAATTCCATGGATCGACAGACTACTGTAACCCTTCTGCTTAACATTTTAACAGTAGGTCCAGGTACTATAGCTAGACAAGCTGTGGCATGTGCCTCTAATTAGCACTGCTAATGTTTTGATGCAAAAGTAAGCTTACAGGTATGTTAAGGAAGATTTTTGATAAATGTGTGCATCAAATATTAATATCATGTTTATATGTCCAAATTCACTGGTGGCAAATGTGGAATCATGTTTAAGAAACAGCATATGTTTGATATTCTCTGGCCTAATTTTATTTGGAGAATTTCCTACGTGTTGGAGTGAAACTTCACCCCACAGAAACATTGGCATGCCGGGGGAAAAGATTACTTGATAAGCAATGTCCTACTAAGGAAAAGTATCTTCTCCACCAAAAGCCTCTGCATTGCTGTACCAGAGACATCCACAGTCACCTCCACAACTCAGGTTACAGGAGTGTTTGCTGCAAAGCAGGTGGGAAGCCATGAGCGCAAAGTGTGGGCTTAAAGAGTCAGAGAAATTGGATCTTTCAGAAAAGTATGATGGCTAGATCTGTGCTAGTCAAGACTCAATAAAATAGTTTGTCTAAAGTCCTCTGACTTAAGGAATTATTAGCTGCTTCATCATGAACTTAATACCAACGACTCTGCTCTGCTCACTGTAATCTTCTACTGCGCTTTGCGAACCCCAGACATGCAATGAATTAAAATCTGGTGGCGGATCAAGGGTCATGCAAGCTCAAAGGAATCACTAATAATAGCAAAGCCATATTGCTTTATGAGTTCAAGACACTAAGACAGAGTTCAAGGACTGATTAAAAATTAGATTAGCAGGGCAAGTGGTTGCCTGGGGAGTCAGGCAGCAGTTCTTGACAAGAAGAGGTCAAACCTGACTTAGGAAAGGTACTCAGGCTGGGAAGCTTGGAGGCAAAGTGTCGATTTTGATGTTTCTCTCTGGCTGTTTCACTAGATGTGACCTGGAGTGACAGACACCAGGCTTCAGTGCAGAGCACGGTTCTAATCAAAAGTTTTTTTCTGGGGGGGAGGTTGCATTATCTCATTGTACAGGGACAGAAGGTGGGTGGTGTGAGCAAAAATATGTGTTTGTGTGTGCTTGGGGGGGGGGAAGGGTGTTCGATGGAAAAAGAAAGATACTACAGAGAGTGAGTCTGCAGTGAACCTAAATTTACTGCAGCGTAATTCAATAAGTTTCTCCAAAATACAGTACGCTTTATAATGTTTCTGTGACATTTGGAATTGTGCCATAGCAGGAAAGGAAACTTCCTCAAACTTCAGGCATGACTATTGCAGGTGCTGAGTTGTCAGGAACACAGAGACAGGTTAAAAAAAAAAAAAGCTGCTGCTTAAAAATTTGCTTGACCTTTATTTTCTTGACTACAAAAAGCAACATATTTCTCTTTTGTTCTTTTCTTGCTTGGAAACATTGCTGCAGAGGACAGAAGCGAGCGTAGCACTGGGTGCCATGCTCATTAACTGCTGTTTCCAAATCAGAGCACACGCATGCACATTGAATGGATGGTGAGGCAGCCACAACCCATGTCTCAAAATATGACCTCTTCATTAAATAGTTTCTTAGATTAATTTTTACATAAGAAATAATGTGCAGCATTTTAATTTTTTGGCAGCATAACCTCGGGATCAATTTTTTAATTAAAAAGATGTATGATATCTTGCTGACAATACTGTTCAACATGCGCTAGACTTGTGAAAGCTGGTAAAGCGATGGAACCGACCTGATTAATAGCGTCTCTTCTCAATAACGAGGGAAGCCACTCTTTAGGAAATCCTAAATTTAAATCTGTTAGAAAGGCACAGTTTATGTAGTAATCTCCAACATACAGAGCAGTGAAAGATACTAATTTCCTGTGCTTGCTGAAGATCCTTTATGCTGGACATTCCTTAGGCATCGTAAATCATACCTTAACAAAAATGCTAACGGTGCTACCCTAGCTAGCCACCTATATCTAGAGTTGTTTTGTCCTTATCCATGCCGACACATCTTCCAGATTCTCTTCATCCCTGTTTTCCAAAACCCACCTCCAAGTTCATTAATGCCTTTCTTCACCATCATTATCATCATCATTATTAATTCCCTCCGCTGCTGGCAATCTTGGCAGGAGATAGGGAGTGTGGGAGCATTGCCACTTGTCAGTGCAGTTGAAATCTATATGAAGAACTGACAAACACAGAATATTGCCACTTTTCTCAACATTTTAGAGG